TATTCCTATTCATCTGCCCACTGTCCTCATCTTTGTTTTAAGAAAAGGAAAATCCTTTCAGGAATTTTCCTAAATTTTCCTAATTCCTAAAGTGAGTAATCTTGCTCTTCTTAGAAGCTGGACTGGATGATCTTTAAATGTACCTTCCAACCCAAAGAATTTGATTATTATGAGAACTGAATATACCCATGAACCCTGGATGCCTGATTACCCTGCTGGTATTGGCAAGGCAGGTAAAAATTATCTGAAGATAGGGTAACATGCTAACAGCAAATTGGTACAAGGCCTTTGTCTTTGGAAGCCAGGCCAGATCAGAGTCATAGAATGGCTCTTCTATGAGTCACCTTCCACTAGACCAGGTGACTCAAAGCCCCATCCAACCTGGCCTTAAACACTACCAGGGATGGGGCATTCACAACTTCTCTGGGCAACATGTTCCAGTGCCTCACTACCCTCATAGTAAAGAATTTTTTCCTAACATCTGATCTAAGTCTCTCCTCTTACTTATCGTCTCTGAACCCAGGGCAGTTAAGTAATTCACTTGTTAAAAACAATATTAGATATTAGGAAAAGATTCTTCATCCAGAGGGTAGCTGGGCACTGGAACAGGCTCCCCAGGTCACAGTACCAAGCCTGCCATAGTTCAGGAAGCGTTTAGACAATGCTCTCAGGCACATGGTGTGATTCTTGGGGCTGTCCTGTGTAGGGCCTGGAGTTTTGCTTCCTTGATCCCTGTGGATCCCTTACAACTCAGGATATTCCATGATCCTGTGAATCTTCCAGATGTACAAGCTCCATCAGCTGTTGCAACACAGCACCTCCTCATCCTGCAGGACAGTGCCGTACCATGTACTTTTACATGTGTTGGGGCTGCTTAGAGCTACAAAGATGATCAAGGGATTGGAGCATCATCTCTTACGAGGAAAGTCTGAGGGAACTGGGCCTGTTCAGCCTCGAGAAGGGACAACTGAGAGGGTACATCGTATGTCAGTATCTGAAGGTAGGTATCAAGAGGGTGGGTTCAGGTGGTGCCAAGTAATAGGACAAGAGGTAATAGGCAGAAACTGATGCACAGGAAGTTCCACCTGAATATGAGGCAGAACCTTACTGTGTAGGTGACCGTGCACTGGAACATATTGCCCAAGGAGGATGTGGAGTCTCCCTCACTCGAGAGGCTCCAAAAACTGACTGGACGCAATACTGTGGCATGTCCTCTAGGATGGACCAGGTTAGATCAGATGACCCACTGTGGTCCCTTCCAACCCGTCCCATTCTGTGGCTCTGTGATTCCGTGTCACTGGCGCCCTCCCGCCACCGCGCTGCCACGAACAGTCACAAGTGCTGGGAACGAGACTTGCTCCTGTCAGAAAGCGGAAGCTGAGACAGCGCCAGCCCTAATTGCAAAATGGTCCTCAAGAAGGCGGTGCAGGAGGCCGGCGAGCGGCAGTTCCGCGGCGCTGGAAGGCGGGAGGGACGCGCAGCCCACGATGGATCCCGAAACGGCGCCGGCAGGGGACAGGACGGGATACAGACGGACAGGAACGGAGGCGACGGCCACCCCTCGGGGGTGGGGAAGGGGAGGGGCGATGAGATACGGCTCGGCCCCTCTACGCGCAGGAAACTCCCGCCGTTGCCTTACAAGGGCAGGAGCGCGCTCCCTCCGCCCCCCGCCCCTGGAATGCGGTGACCGCACCGCGCTGCACCAACGCGGCGCCGGGGAGGGGGGAGACACGTACAGGGGCCGGGTCCGAGATTCCGACCTTCTCCTCTCGGAGATGACGAAGACCCCTCGGAAGGAACGCGAAACGCACGTGTCGCCGCGGGTCCTCTCCCCTGCCCGGCCCGTGGCGCCTGGCGCCGAACGACGAACCTCGGCGCTACTCCCCCCCGCGCGAATGGTTCGCCCACGGCTTCCTTCCTCCCCGTGGGGGGCGCTGCTCCGCTCTCGGACGTGCCGCGCCAGCCGCTCCTGCCGCGGCTGCACTTGGGACCCTCTCCCGCCGCCCGCCAGGTGAGCGGGGGTCACCCGGGAGTCTGGGGCCAGGGGGAACGTGACGGCTGGGGCAGGGCCGAGCTGGGCCGCCTGAGGGCCGGGGGGTCGCTGGCCGTGCCAGGGGTTCGCTTGCGCCTCGCCCCCTCGGGCCTCGCTCGCTCGTGCTGCCGCTTCCTCCTCGGGGGACCCGCCCTGCTGGCCGGGGCTGGGGCGACCGCGGCTCGGGGGCCCGCGGCCCATGCCCTGTGAGCGGGCGGGGGCCGCGACGCCCCGGGCAGGGGGCAGGGGCTGCAGCGCCAGCGGGGATGAGCTCCCTGGGCATTGTTTCGGGGAACAGGTGTTAAAAGATACTTTTTGGCTCCCTGTCGGAAGGGGTCGGCTGCCTCCCGGTCGCATCGCCCCTCAGCGGCTGTTTCCTCGGCTTTGTTAGAGCACGGGAAGGGCTGGGCTGGGGATGCAGCGCTGGGAAGAGGAAGAGGTCTCGGGAGAGGTCCCCGGTCTGTGCCCGCCTGCGCACCGTTTGGAATGAACACGGCCGCGACAGAGACACTGGGGACAGTGCAGTGGGTCCCTCGGTCGCGGAATCACAGAATCAGTTGGGTTGGAAGAGATCTCTGAAATCATCGAGCCCAACCTATGATCCAACACCACCTTTCAACTGGACCACGGGACTAAGTGCCACGTCCAGTCTTTCCTTAAACACCTCCAGGGACAGTGATTCCAACACTTCCCTGGGCAGTCCATTCCAAAGCCTAATCACCCCTTCTGTGAAGAAGTTCCCCTAACTCTAACCCAAAGCTCCCCGGCGAAGCTTGAGGTGGTGTTCCTCTGTCCTGTCACTTTTTCCTTGGGAGAAGAGCCCGACCCCCATCTGGCAACAACCTCCTTTCAGGTAGTTATAGTGATAACCCTGAGCCTTCTCTGTTGCAGGCAGGCTGACTCACAGGCGCTGGATTTTGAGGCAAGCGTGACTCCTGTCTAAGGGGTTTGGGAAACAGTGAGGAGTGTGTTAAGGTGGCTTTCAAGACTGGTGCAGTAGTGTAGGGTGTAATCTGCTCTTTATTGAGCTTTGACACAGATCTGCAGAATGCCTTAGTTTTATCTCTTCCTGCTACCACCCAGACTGTGATGGATGCGTGACTGTATGTGATGCTGTAATGGATTATGTGGACAGAACTTGGGCTTTAGCTTTGAGGCTGACTTTTGAGTTTGATGTTATACCTTAGTTCATGTGGAGACTTTCTTGGCTATGGGTTATGGGGATTTATTGTGTGGTGGCTTGTTTTTTTTTAATTTTGAGTGATAGGCATCACAGTTATTACAATATTCACAATGTTGAAATGTGAGGGTGTTTTCCAAAGTGCAGCTTCTGGTCCCTGCCTCTGAACAGGTTCAGCCTGCAGCAGTGTTAGTGGGTTGTAAATTTTCACAGCTTATTGTCTGGTTGAATATCGTTAGTTGCTTGGTTTTGTCTTCTCCAAGGGTTTATCACTTTCCCAGAGGAAGGGACCATAAGATGACTTTCTGTGCTTCTGTGGTTTGATATCCACTGCTGTTGCTTGACTGAAGCAAATGAATGCAGAGGCAGCACAAAGCAGCACAGTGCTTTTACTACCTTTTTTTTTCTTTTAATATGTGAAAATGTTCCTTAAGAGAGGTTAAGTTTTCAGAAATATCTTCTGAGGAGTCTAAGGGAAGGTCTTACATTAGGTCTTACATTAGAATTGTCTTGGACAGTTTCCAAAACAAGGCCCAGACCAGATCATTCAGTGCATCATAATATTAAACAACAGAGACTAAACCTGTGTGTCATGACTTGTGCTATCTAATGTGCAGTATTTCCACTCTTTCTCTACTGAAATTGCATTTGCAGCCTGCACTTGCCCTATTTCAATTATAAAAGCGTGCAGTTAGGTGCGGGTTTTTTTGTTGGGTGTTTTTTTTGTTTGTTGGTTGGTTTGGGGGGCTTTTTGGTGGTGTTTTTTGTTGTTTTTTTAAATACCTTGTGAATTTATCAGATTAAATTCTACTTTCTCTAAAATTGGGGGGCCCGGTGCTTGACTCAAATGGTGTTAGTTCTGCCTTATTACATCATTCACTGCTATATACGGAGATAACACAAAGTGTAAACACTTTTGGAACTTTTAAATTATAAATTGATCTCTTTGGCTAACTGGATTGATGACTTTGGTTTTCTGAACATGTTCCACTGTACCACCCTGTTTCTAATAGAGTTTCCTAGAGCTGAGTGCAGCATCTCCAGTGTAGCTGCACCAAACCTGTGCTAAAAGGCACCACAGTCCTGTAAGACTTAATGTTTCTCTGTATTCAGGCTGACAGGTCTCTGGAACTGAAGGAGTTGTGCTGCCTCCCAAGCCTGGTTCACAGAAACTTAGAAAATAGTAATGCAAGCGTTGTCAAGTTTTTCATCTTCTCGAGTACAATATTCTGATACAGCAATCTTCTGAACAGAATTAAGAAGAACGTGTTGGCAGCCTGTCTCTGTTACGTCCTCTTGCTTAAGATTGAGTTCTAGGTGAGAGAGTGGCAGCTTGTGGCTTGCTGGAAGCACTGCCTTTACAGCATGTGCAAAGTAAACTTTTTCGTCTACTTGGAATGGACCATATCCCAAAAACTATGAATTATTTCAGAGAACAGCTACTTAAACTGTTTGGCTCTATTTTTGGGTAGTGGAACTTTTAATCAGTAATTCAGCATTTAACAGGAACTTGCCGGAGGGTTTTTACTGAGGTGAGAAAACCACCGACTTTATGCACAACCCTTGGCTGCAGCTTGAAAGCAAATTACCTTTGTTGTCAGCTGTCTTCATAAATATCTCGATGTCAAGAGTTCACATTTATTTGTTGAACTGTTATGGAGGCCAGACATCTCAGATAGCTTGTGGTTAGCGAGTGCACCGAAGAGAACTTCTGCGTTGTTGAATGATGCGCAGTTGCATTTCACAGGCTATTTTTAGTTCGGGACATAATGGTTTGTTTTGTACGTCACAACAACGTTGTATATGCACGTAGGATTTAAAAGTGTGGAATTAGCAGGGGAAATCAGTAACTGTCTTTGTGGACAGACAGAGAAGGACATAACCATGGAATTTCCTTTTATGATCCAGGTGCTCGGTAAAGCATGTCAGCTATCTGACACAAAGCAAGGTAAAATATCTTTCCTTTTAGTTAAAAACAAACAAACAAAATAACTGCTTTTTGCCTGAATATTGGGTTGCTTATGTAAGGGAGTTACTTTGCTTAATTTTGCTCCCTTTTTTTAAGGCTGAATCCCAGTTAGTGATTTCAGTCTTGCTTTGCAGGAGTCTAACAGAAATTATTCTGTCTTTGAGGAGGCTGTCTGAGAAACAGAACTGTGCTGTGACTCTGACTAGCATTGCGTGTCTGACCAGATATTTTTTTCTAAGATATAAAACTAAAACTTAATGTAAATTTCAGAATGTTGCTATTTTTTTGATTACTTATTTTTGTGATTCACTTGTGATAAAAGTGAAGCTTAAATTTGTCCTCTTTCAGCACGCTCTTGCTGCAGGTGCTTCCTGTAAAATTCAAAATCAAGGATGGAAGGAATCTAGTTTGCATAACAGTTTGGGCATAATAAAGGATTATAGCAGCATGGATTATGCTTTACTTTTATCTAATGCAAGTAGAGGTTATCAAACTTTGGGAAACAACATGTCAAGTTTAACTTATCCAAAAGCAATGTTGAGGTCTTCATGTTTGCATTTCAGTGAATGACTCAGCTTTTTGGGTTTGTACCGCCAACTACAGCTGAACACTAAATGTATCTGCCCAGCTAAATAGATGCCATTAACTTGAAAGCCTCACTTCTGCCCTGAGTGTGTTAATGTTATAGCATGTAAGCCACCGCGTTTATTTCTTTGACAGCTTCAAGGGAAACAATGAAATTGGTATATTTGTGATACATGAAAATTCTAAAGATTCTGCAAGAATATACAGATGTTTTAAAAGGCTGATAATTAAAAGAAACGGTCTCCAGATTTTCGTACCTATTATGCCATTAATTCAGTTAAAAAGAGTGTACCGGCATTTGTGTGTGTGTTGTGTTCCCCTGTGTAAGAGAATAGCAATGTAGAGCTTCTGCACCAAGTCAGTGGTTTCTTGCTCTCAACAGCAGCTGTTCTAACAAATGCTTTTCAGAGCCTAAAATACAATTTTTTTCCCCTCCTAAATTGTTAGTTTAGCATACTGCCTGATTTATTTAACCACTACTCTAGTTTAGCAGCCCATATCCTCCTACAGGGCAGGTCAACAGTGCCTCCCAAACTGCTGAGTGTGTAGTCATCTCAATTTGTGGAAGATGCAGGTGGAGTATTGAATCAGCAATACAAACACTGAGTGATTTCATTTCAAAAGCTGTGATTTGATTTGGAGTTTTTATGTAACCTGCTATTGGCCTACAGTTCCAGTCGCTGAGTCCTGAAAGACCTTATACTTTAATAGCAAGTGAAATGTAAATGAAAGAAAATGGAGCAGGAGATACCAAAGTAAATGTGTACTTTGGCGTATTTGCTGACAACATGGAATTTGATATTCCTTTATCCATCCTTCCCCCAAGGACTTGTGATATGATTTAATAAGGCTAAATCTGGGATATGCTTCTGTCTTCTTAGAACCAACAGCCAACATGTCCAGCAAAAGGGCAAAGACGAAGACCACCAAGAAGCGCCCTCAGCGCGCCACTTCCAATGTATTTGCGATGTTTGATCAGTCGCAGATTCAGGAATTCAAGGAGGCCTTCAACATGATCGACCAGAACAGGGATGGCTTCATCGACAAAGAGGACTTGCACGATATGCTCGCCTCCCTTGGTAATGTCCCTTTGCTGTTTATGCTTGCCAAGCCAATTTGTGCTGTTTAAGGGAAATTCCTGAGTTTAGGATATGAGAGGTGTCTCAATTTGTATTGCACGATTGACATTACTCTTTTAGTTTGAAAACTAAGCTGAATATGAATCCCTTTATTTGTAGGAAAGAATCCAACAGATGAATACCTGGATGCCATGATGAATGAGGCTCCAGGCCCCATAAACTTCACGATGTTCCTGACCATGTTTGGTGAGAAGTTAAATGGCACCGACCCGGAAGATGTAATCAGGAATGCATTTGCTTGCTTTGATGAAGAAGCAACAGGTATGTGGATAAAATAACAGTGCACGTGTATTACTTCTACTTACTTCTGTAACAGTAAATACTTGTGTACGTAGAAGTCACGAAGAATTTTTTAACTCTTAGACTTTTAATTTCTGCAAACTAAAAATCATGCCTGTATCCTTTTCAATCTCTGTAAAAATTCCAAATTTCTGTCAGTTCAGTTCTGTTGTTCACGACAGAAGAAAGTAAAAAGGATGTTGATGAGGAACAAGGGTCTTAAATTATTCCTAACCTAAAATTCAGCTTCAAGGCAACTTTGTACGGGGAATCCTTGTTTTCAAAGCTGTTGTGCTTTTATGAAGAACTTGTTTTCTGTCAGCAACTTGTATCCACCTTCCCTCTGTTAAGCTGAACTCAAGGGAGAAGAAAATGAATACAAGAAAAATCTTGTGTGAATCACAAGAGTGCTGATAGAAGCAATCACAAGTTATACAAGGCTGCTTGTTTAATAAGCAGTGCCAAAAACTTACTCTTTGCAGTCTAGTAAACCTGAGTTCTGTCATTGATTTAAGATCAAATTGAAATTTTTGAAATATTTCAAACTTCTCTTTTTCATGCACTTGTTGAACATAGGTAGTCAAGTTCCATGACTTTTTTTTTTTGTGATTTTCATTAGGAATGTTCAAAATGAACGGATCCCCTTTTTAATTTTTAAAATATAGAGTTGTTAGAAGGCTCTTGGTACTACTGGGCATATAGCCCTGCTGTTGGGAAAGAGGGCCAATATGAATACTGACAAATTTTTATATTCTTCGGAACACCACCGGGAAATCATAAAATGGCCTTTACTTGAACTAGTGAGACCTGGCAAACCAAGTTGCCTGATTGGATTGAATGCTTGTAATTAGCTGGCAGTTTTAGTAGTAGTCTTTAATGGCTTTGTTTTCATTTGGCAAACAAAGACTGTAGGTATCTTTAATTGAAGGAAAGAATTCAAAGAAAGAAGTTATCACCAGTGTATTAGCAGATAAATGTAAAAATTCCTCCTTCTTATGTTTTCATGTGTTGCTTCCAGGGTTCATCCAGGAAGACTACCTGCGGGAGCTGCTGACGACAATGGGAGACAGATTCACGGATGAAGAGGTGGACGAGCTGTACAGAGAGGCACCCATCGACAAAAAGGGGAATTTCAACTACATCGAGTTCACACGCATCCTGAAACATGGAGCAAAAGACAAGGATGACTGAGCAAATCCATGCATACCTGCAGATTATCTCTACACTCGTGTTTATTTTTAAGGGTTTATTCCTGATAGAACTTGTTGCATGCATTTAGCTTTACAGCTTTTGCCTTTCTCAATGTATTTATCTATTCCAGGCCATTTAGGCATATTTGCACCTGTGTAATCAGACTGGATGCAGGGAAAATATTGTGGGGAAAAGGATATGGGGACAAACATCCCTGGAGTTGATACTCCAGGAAAATAATCTCAATATTTCTGGTTTAGCTGGATTTTTACATTTTTGTAATAAATGCCATTTTGAAATAAAGATTGCTATATAGATAAAATACCTCAAAATCTTTTGTGAAGAACAACAGTTCTATTGTGCATTTACAAATGCAGGTGTGTTCATTGTATTTTACTTGCAGTTGCAAGTCAAGTTGAAAAACTCATTTTCATACTGTTTTGTTCAGTGTCACAGGGTTCTGAAATGCTCCTAGCAGGATGTGCTGGCATCTTTAAAAATGCAGCTGTAGCTGTAGAAGTCTTTCATCTCAGGTTTCTGAAGTGGGATCTGACTAGTGTAAGTAGTTAACCAAAGAAGTGGTTAGGGAAGACTGTTACAGTTGCCTCATGGCCAGCAGAGAACATCTATGATTCTTAAGCCAACATCATGCCTCGCTTTTGTTTTCTTTTAATACTGATGGAATAGCAATATTTTCATGTCAAAGTGTACATTCCTCTTTGTTAAATCTTTATGCTGGCAATAAGTGGGAATTAGGCATATTTTTTCCTTCAGATGAAGGAAGCTTGTGCAAAGGAATCCATGCTGGCACTAATTAACAGCAATACATGGCCACAAAACCTATATAAAGCTTTATTGTTCTGCAGCTAATGTATTTGCATGTGAGAATGTGAGCACAGTCGTTCTGAGGATTGGTAAAACCCTATATGTGCTGAAGTTCCTCTCACTTTTTAAAAGATCATACATATTCCTCAACTATATTGATGACTTTTAACCAAGCACAGTCATTCATTCAAAACTGGTTGTGCTGATGCTGTTGTCTCAAATATAAAGAAAGGGGGGAGGTTGTTCTGTTCTTCATATGACCATGTCCTGTGTGCCTCATTCTCTTGGCTACTGCAAGCTGGAAAGCTTAAGAATTTATTTTGCCTCTTTATTTATCGATTCAAATGATGACTAGAAAGCATGTCCTGACCTATATCACATGACTTAAGACCACAAGGAGTAGGAATTTTACTTCAGCGCAAGGGTGTGTAAGGGCTCTGACAGCTTATACTGTAAGGTGGGCTTGTCTCTCTTCTCATATGTTAGCACAAAGGCTTGGTTACTTAATCTTGCTTGTGTTCCAAGTATGGCAGCTCTGGAAGATACTCTGGCATTAGGTTTGTAAATAAGTTGACAAAGTATACACAGTTAGCATATACTTTGATTATATTTTATTTTTTATTCCTTGGTGGTTTCTTTCACTTCTGGGCTTAATTAAAAGGAGTTTTCAACCATTATTTTCCCAGTTTTGTGTTTTATCTGCCAATGAACTTAGCCTCAAGTTTTCTTTTTCTTCTACACAGACTTATGTTCTCTGCTACATTACTCCAGGTTGCCACAGCTGCTCCTTTTTTTTTCAAAAGTTTGGTTTTTAACTATCTTGGTGCTCTTCAGTAATGGCTGCTGAGGTATTTCTTCATGGGATGCCTGCAAGGTTCTAGCAACAGCTGATATTTCTGGAAGGTAGTTCGCAAGCATGCATGGAAGTTTTCACCAACAGTGGCCATGTGACAAAGAGAACAGAGTGGAGATCTAGGAAACACTGTCTTGTGGAAATGTTGCTATGTAAATTAAGGCAAAGGACTAGTTATGCTGTCACTTCTTTAGACTGATCTTGTCACACCTGTGCAATTCAATACTGTGTGCATACATGCAAGCAGCTTGCACAAAGGACAGGTGGAAGACTATTGATTAATTTTCCCCCAGTTTTCTTCTGTTAGGAACAGTGGATGCCCAAACCCTTCTTTTCCTGATCCTATTTTCTCTGTAAGTGTTAGGTGCTGGTATTTTACACTGAGTAATCAGCAAGTGAGCTGGCTGCATTTTTCTTGCTGGAAATAAGTTTTGAAGTGCTGATTTTAAAATCATTAATATGAGTTACATAAAGGAGAACATGCTATTCTCCTTGAGAGGAAATTGTCCACTTAAAAAATGTTCTGTGCTGCTGCTCTAGTTTTCTGAGCAGCCAGCTGAAATGTGGGGTGTAGCTGCTTTGTAGCACCTACACAGTGTGACAAGGAACATTCCTGGATGTTCCCTCTCTGTAGAGGGAGAGGCAGGGAACTGTACTGATGGAAAGATACCTACACAGGAAGACACATTATTGAGAAAGAATTCCAAAGGATGTTTGAGTATAACTAACTACAAACCTTCCAAGTTCAGGTTTCCTTGGTATGTGTATTGTATTGTAGGAGACCAGTTAACCTGCAAGTGGGCGCAAACCCCTTAACCACTGACGGCCTACGAGGCCAACAGGCCCAGCCAAGAGACCATATAAGAGCATCGGATGCATTTTGTAGCGCGGCAGCGAGGAATGTCGACAGCTGAGGTTGCCTGCCAAGGGCTGTAGGGATGTGTCATCATTAATCCACTTCCAAAAATAAAAATAACTTTGGTCACTGAAACAGCTTAAAATTCTGATGACTTAGACTTACCGTTTTGCAGCCAAAATCTTGGAACCTAATATTTTGTCCCTTGGGGTTCATATATAACGGTCTCCAAGCTCCACGCCAGACTAAGCTTATGATGAAAAACTATTTTCATAGGCTGATGCACACATTTAATAGTCTTATATCTACAGTGATATATAATGCCCTGTGAAGCACTATTGAAAAGCAGTGATTTATTTTAACATGGCCCACTTACCCTGTTCTAAGGCTACATACGCAGAGGTCAAAATGAAGCCAAAGAGCTATTGCAGCGGCATGAGAAACCTCCAAAGAGGACTATGTATGTGTGAAGTGCTGCCTGTGGATGTTTGCCTCCTGCCTTTTCTTCCCCACATTCTACACTTGTTTCTGCTCTTTACGGTGCATCTAAGCAAATAAATCCATCTTTACCGCACAGTGACCAGATGACTGAAACATTTCACAGCATGAAGGCAGCTTATTATACTAGCTCAGCAACTAGTGGATGTCACAGAGGTGGTGTCCCTACACTCAGAAGTAAGGATCCATTTCACCACTGACCTAAGGACTAACTTTAGATCGCTTGTTTCTAGGATCACTGTCGTATCTTGAGAAATGAATGCAACACAGGGGCCCCATCCTGGCACAGGACATCAGTGACAGCATGCCTTTGCCTCCTGACCAGTGCATTTGATCCAAAAGCTGGAAAGTATCGGAAATCTTGTCATCACATGTTTCTCGTGGCCTTTTCTTGTCTGGAGTGTTACTAACTTAGTGGGATGTTCCTGGGGAGTTTCAAACAACAACAAATAGCTCTCTTACTGTCCCAAAGGCATTCTGACAATGTAAGTCCAAATAACAGGTGAGTAACAATCAAAGTATAGACAGGAACATTTTAGACATCAGCAGTTAATCTGCCATTGGTATTGCCTATGTACCCATGCTCCTATTTTGGCTTCTTACTTAATTTTTCAAAAGCTACTGTCATTTTTAGATAACTTCCCTCTTTGGAAAAACAATTTAGGATGACAGTAACTCAGAAACAGTATTACAGAAGCCAAGAACAATACAGAGGCAAAAAGAAATCAGTAAATGCCTCTCAAAATGCAGCTTAACAATAAGTTAACATGAAATGTTGGAAAGTAATAGTGGGGGAAAAAAACCAAACTCCACACAACTCATGTTCTGTTGTGCTCTGAGCAGCAACTCCACGGAGACCACTGTTTTCCCAAACTTTTGATATATTAGATAGAAAAATGTTCATCTTAAAAAAAAAAAAATGGCAACACATGTCAGCTTTTCCTGCTTTCCTCTAAAGCCTGTGGGCCTGTACATACATTGCTCCCCGTATCCTGGGACCACTCATTTCGGGCAGGAGCAGGCAGGCTACTTTGGTAGCATGCTCTTTGGGAATCCCTGTGTTAGACCTTGAAAAAAAAACTTGTATGGCAAATTTCAACAATTCAGAAAAAAAAATACTGCCAAGGAATGTTTTCAGACCAAACGTGTCATATTCCCTAGACGCCACACATAATAGGCATTGCATCACAGGGCTTAAGGGGTCAGGCAGTTTTTATCAATGTAATAAACCTAAGGAATATGTTTATATGTTTCTCAGCAGCATGCAATTAACATAAGAGCAGGAAATCAAACTGCCTCCTGGAAAATTCCAACTGCTTGCTCTGTGCAGACTCCTCTGCCACGCGGCTGTGATTCAATCCCTCAGTAAACCAGCCTTGCACTTTAATAAAGCTTGAAAGTCAGTTGCAAATACTATAGGATTAGGCAAGTCAAGACTAACTTTAATATGGGTGCCTAAAGGAGAAGATGGTGGCAGCAACAGTCATTTTAACATTCTTGTAAACTGTCACTGCTCAGTTTTACAGGGTTTATTTAATCCTTAATCCTCTCTTTGGTATCAGTGAGTACAACCTCACTAAATATTGAACTATGTTTTGGTTTGTTTTTCAATTGTGAATAGGCCTTGGGAGTTAAAAGTCAGCATTTCACAATAATTTCCAGCCTCTGCCAAGCATATTCAAGTGAGTGGGTGTAAAACGAGGCCTGTGAGCCCTGTCTTGGTATGTGCTAAAAAAGAGCTGACATCAGACACAAGTAACTTGAACCTTGACTTTTCATTGTATCTAACAGATACTAGGGGGTTTCCCTCTTTTGAGTTCTTCCTTAATTGTGAGCTAACTATCTCTAACACAATAGGTTTTATACTGGCAACATATTGCCACCCCACAAGAAATAGGCTGATTTTGAAATTGCTCCACCAGTTAACCAAACTTGCGCTGGCATCAGCTAATAAGAAAACTGCTAACACCTTACTTTTCATGTCAAACACCTGAGTAATTATGCTCCTTGTTTTCTGGGTATATTTTAAAATAGTATTTTAGACCTTCAGCCAAGCATTGAGCTCATTTCATTTTCATCCATATTTGTTCATACATGCTGTCAGACAGATACCAACTCTAATTTTATGTGTGAGGAGAGGGCACATATGTACAACCTTAGGTTAAGCAGAATTAATTACATGTCTTTGAAAGACTGGAGGCCTCCCACTCTCCTTATTAAGAATACCTATCAACACTTATTTTTGCATTTCAGACATCAACATTATGGAATCACGGTGTCTGGCAATATTTCTGATTAAA